CCCCCCCCCCCCCCCCCCCCCCCCCCCCCCCCCCCCCCCCCCCCCCCCCGACTCCCATCTCTCTCTCTTCACCCCCTGACCTTCCTTCCCCACCTCCTTCCTCTTCTGTTCCCCTGAGGTTGCCTCTGGTGTGCCTGCTGCAACTCAGAAACCAAATTAATCTTCCCTGCTAAAGGTTTACAGTGGTATTCAATTTAAACTGTGCCTTGGCTTATGAGTCCTTCTTCATCTGCTACCATTTCACCTCTTACTACTGTTCCCTTCCCCAGGACATTTCATCTACCTCATCCTTTCAGTTCCTTAAATGCCGAGCTTGAGCCCTCCTTAGGCTGCTCTTCCTGCTGCTCCGCCCCTGATCTTGGCATGGCTGGACATTTCTCTCTTAGACCATCCTTGACAACCCAACCGAAGGTGCCCATCCAGTCCCTCTCTCTCATATCATTCTATTTTAATTCTGTATCATCTTCCTGTATTAGATTTCTTATCATTTCCTGATGTCTTTCTTGTTTCTGTCCTCTCTTCCTTTGTTTATTGTCTGTCTCTTCCACTCCAATGGAAGATGCTCGACAGGCAGTCCACCTGGCTCCCTGTTCTTTCCACACCAAAGACAGCACCTGGCACATGCTAGCCCCTCATGTAAATTGGTTGAATGATGAACAACTATGCCTCACAAACCTGCACGTCCTCCTTTTGCCCTGAATTGATGTATATATAAACTAATGGAAACGAAGATTAATAAAACCTGAAATTATTTTGTATTTATAGACCTCTTCATTCTAATTTTTGTGTTCTACAATTCTACCCCCAAGCCAACTTTAAAATTTAATATCTCCTGCTAACCACTAGATGTTAGCATTTAAACTCCTGAATTTACCACTAGATGTCACAAGAATTCCAAACCCAATTTTGAGAATTCAGGGCAGCTGACTTACGTCTTTACACTGGTCTAGCTTCTTGATTGCTTCATATTCTTGCGTTATTGTCTGAGGGAAATAGCATTTCCCTTTATCTTCTTCATATTCTGCTTTGTAACTTTTCTATAATGAGAAAGAACAAAAATAGATCATTATTGTTGTTGCTTTCCAACAAGGTCACTGTGAGGCATGAACACTGTCTTCAAACTTACGTCACTGTTTTGAGCTGTGACTTTCATGCAGTGTGTATGATATGGGTCCTCAAAGCTGCCTACATAATGTCCCAAGATATTCTTCACATATAAGTCTTTATATTTAGCCTGAAAAAGAAAACATATGTAATTCAAGTTAGCAGTTATTCGTCCAACAGTACGAAAGCCCTCCAACCCCAGAGGTAACTGTGGCCTTTCGAACCTCGCTGAAGTTCTTCAGCTGAGTATCAAGTTGATATTTAGGGGTCTCGCAGTAATTCATGCTTTTTGCCTTTGTCTTTTCATAGTTTTCTTTATATAATCTCTGTCAAAGGAAAAAGAAAATTAAACCAAGAAAACAGACAAATATATCTCATGGAATAAAAGCCATTTATTTCTCATTGCTATACTTTAACCAGAGAGGCAAAATTTGTATTTTCTCAGCATCTATTTTTCACAAAGCAGAAAAGCAGAATAAATATGGTAGAGGTTCAAGTCTTGTATAATATCATCTGCTAATAACCATAAATATGTTTCCATTACTTGTCCTAACATTTCTTAAACTCTTAAATTAGAGCACACCAATGCTGCTTTTTAAGCAGGTTTTTGTCTTAAAATAATTCTTTCCATTTGAATGTTGTTTGAAGAAAAACGAATTTTCCAAAGAGTTGGTGCAAAAGAATGTATAAGGTGGACCTTAGATACTTAGGCACAGTCCTAGAAAAGTATCCAGTTCAACATTTGGTGAAAACACATTTCACAGCATCTGCAGAAGTCGCCTTTTATGATTAAGGCCTAACATTTTCTTTATAGCAATAATACATGAAAAGATGCTTTTTCTGTTTTATTGTATATTTCATAGATTTCTTCACATTCTCTTTTAATTCTCTCATATAGAAATCCAAAAATATACTCAATAAATACTTGTAAATTATATGGAATGAGAAGGTGTATTTCATTTTTGCTAGGAATTAGGAAAGCAATTATTGTAGAGAGTTTTATTTTATTTTTAATAAGTTTCTCAATGTCCTTAAAAATGAGATGAATATTTATAAAATTCTTAAAATATTTTGCTTTAGAGTATATGCTTCATCTAGTATTTCCTACTTTATTTGTCTTCAAATTGACTTTCTTCTTGCTTTTTATTTTTCTGTATGTATTTTTGTAAACTACTTTAATCAGTTCAGAGCATTAAATTAATACATACATGCACATATACATATATTTATACATACTTCTAGGAAAAACAAAAAAAGATATTGTTAGTGCATTTTCTCTTAACAAAGCAGAGGGCATTAAGGACATTAAGGAAATAACAGTATTCACTGGCATCTCAAAGTACAGAGACATCAGCAGGAACGAGGAAGTTCATCTTCCTTTACCAACTGGGCTTTTGTGTTTGATTCGCCATCCTGAATCTAGGAGTTCAGTTAGGCTAACATCCCATCCAAGGTTGTATTAAACAGTAAGTGTGGCCACATCTGAAAATAAGGGTGATTTACAACGACACTCACGTCACTCTGGTTTTTGGCCGTCTTCAAGGAGTGCAGCATCTTGGGATCGTCATTAATGCTGAGGGCTCCAATCATTTTCCCTTTGCTCTTTTCATAGTCTTTCTTGTATATCACCTGCAAAAAACATCACACATGCCAGACCCCACTCACCAGGAAGCATCCCTGAGGCTGCCCTGTGCGGTCCCCAGGCCATACTCACGTCACTAGTGTTCTTGCTGTTGGCTTTGGCTGCCAGCAGGGGAATGGCGTCCACTTTGATGTTAAACTTCTTAGCTTTGCTCTTCTCCCAATCTTGCTTATAAGCATTCTGCATGGGAAAGTGTCAGCAAAGAAAATGCAAAAGTGACATGCATGTCATTACATTTAAAGTCTAAAGGGTAACCAAATGCCTTGTTCTAATATACAATAAACAAACTCTTTTCATTGTACAGGAAATCATGCATATCTTAGATAATTCTCTTCAAACTGAAGCTTCTAATTCTTCAAGATCAGGCTTCTACACTCTCTATTAGAATCCTCCATCAAATTAACTCAATTCTAGTTATCATACTAATATTTGATTCTTAACACTGAATATTTTATAGAGTGGCACAAATATTCTACAGCTAACTTACTTTTTCTGATATAAAGGCATTGTTTTCATTTAATCTGTAAGTCTTCTGCAAAGTTCTTTCGTGAATCATTACAATACTTATTGATCTTGGATAATCTTAGTACTCATTTATAGAATTGTTGAATGAATCAAGATGCCCCATTCTTTAAAATTGTTTGTAAAATGAAAGAGAGCAATCTATACCTGACCTTCTGCCCTTTAATACTCTGTATCTTCATTAGTGCAAGCTATTTTACATATAGAAATAAGTATCATTTGTGTGAAATATGGACATTATAAGCATGGAAAATCGTTGATATGAAATTGTATCTAAAAAAATCATGTCCTGAAAGAAAATGAATTATAGTACAATACAAATGGCTAAAAGGTCTAACATTAAGATTTGCAAGGGCTCGGCCGGCCCGGTGGTGCACTGGAGAGTGCGCCGCTTGGGAGTGCGGCGGCACTCCCGCCGAGGGTTCGGATCCCATGTGGAGAGCGGTTCCCGCTCACTGGCTGAGCGCAGTGCGGGCGCAACACCGAGGGTTGCGATCCCATTGCCGGTCAGTAAAAAAGACAAAATGGAAAAAAAAAAAAAAAGATTTGCAAGGGCCGGCCTGGTGGCGCACTCGGGAGAGTGCGGCGCTGGGAGAGCAGCGATGCTCCCGCCGCGGGTTCGGATCCTATATAGGACTGGCCGGTGCACTCACTGGCTGAGCGCGGGGCAGGTGACACCACACCAAGGGTTGCGATCCCCTTACCGGTCACAAAAAGGACAAAAAAAAAAAAGATTTGTAATTAAACCACATGAGTGGTGGCATTTTGAAGGTTGGTTAAAATATGTTAAGATTGTCTAATTGTACAAAGCTACTTGCAAGATTGCTACGCACATTTTATAAGGTAAATTCGAAGTTACATTGGCAGAGACACAGGAACATGATATAAATGTTAACTGTTTTCCCCATCTTTAGCATCAAAATATTCATTGAATTGCAATGAAGCAATTAAAAAATAAAAGCACAGGTTGTCAGTATATCACATGGCACAGTGTGTAAGGAACTCACATCACTCAGGTTGTAGGCATTGACTTTGTGCTGGATAAAGGCAGGAGTATCAGGGGGTATATGGCACTTGAACTTTTCACTTTCATGTTTTGCTTTGTAATTTAGCTGAGAGAGAGAGAGAGAGAAACAATTAGGACTCAAGAAGAATTGTTCCAAACTACAAACACTTTTGTGTAGTACACTTTGTAAAGTAACTGGCAACATTGTCAAGATCCAAAGAGACGTCCAGAGCTTGGGTAGGTCACCCTGCTTTATTGAACCTGTGTGCTGGTCACTTGACAGCTGTTATCACATCGGCCACCATGGGAGGACTCTAACGGAATGAGGCGGCTCTTTCATACACACTCCCCTCCATGCATATCACAATTGGCCCTTTGGCTTCTGAGACGAACTCAGCCTTTCCTTCTCATTGTCAATGCTCACTCATTGTAGAACCTTTTTTAACAAATCTGGTTATGTGTCCCCTCACATATATCATGGCTGTTGATATTCTCATCGAAGCCTTCATTTATAGCCATAATCTACTGAAGTTACTTTTATTTTTATTTTTTAGTTCAACACAAGTTTGGAAATCCATACTTAAAGCTCATGTGATAAACCTTGTCTCAAAGACTCCATTTTCCAGAAACTTAACTAGGAGAGAGAAACCCATGTGCTGCATCCCTGCTGTGGGCGAGGGTGTGTGCTACACACATATTTCCCTTCATTAAATCTTCAAAACAGCCACAAGTTATCCAAGGGAAATATGAGGCATAGAGAGGTTGCCCAGTCACCAGGTTCTGACTCTAGAACTCATGTTCTCTCTAGTGCTTTTAGCTACTTTAGTTTCCTTCACAAAATCATTTCACTATAAGTGTCCTCTGCCCAAGAAGATGCAAGGCAACCAAATCGGAAGATTTTTTAGGTGATTACAAGTATATAAAAGTTAAACTTGTTAAAAAACCTACATAGCCTTTTTTATAAATGTGACACGTCATTGGATTTTATGTACAGTGTTATGAAATCTCTCATAATTGGATTTCTTGGATATGTAGAGGCACTTACATCGCTTAGTTGTTTGGAATTGACTTGGGCTTGCAACAGAACAGGAGAGTCAGTAACTTGAGTGAATTTTGTCTTTTCCGGATGGACTTTGTAGGTGTGCTGCAGGAGAGCAAAAAAATTCGGTTTAACATTATCACCTGTCAAATCCAGTAGAACCTCATTGCCCCCAAAGAAAAAAATTTGTAATTAATAAAACATTTATTGCTTTTATAACTAAACTCTCCCATCTTCAGACTCCTGATAACTTTTTTGGGAAAATGAACAAGCATTATCTCTTGAAATGCGAGGATGCCAACAGGGAAAAATACTATATCGACTACAAAATATATTTTTTCTTACTGTTTCCTTCCTTGCATTTATTTATGAAAGTGCAAAATATTAAATATGTCTTGACCATTTTTGTAACATTCAAAGTTTATACTACAGGCTTACATCTTTACACTGATTTAGTTTCTTGATTGCTTCATATTCTTGAGTTATGGTCTGGGGGAAGAAGCCTTTGCCTCTGTCTTCTTCATATTCTGCTTTGTAGTTTTTCTATGAGAATAAGAAATCAGACATAAGGATGCAACCATTTTATTCATGCCTCAAAAATGTGTTATTTGGAAAGTCAAACAATTGTCTCAGAACTTACATCACTGTTTTCAGCTGCGACTTTCATGCAGTGTGTATGATATGGATCCTCAAAGCTGCCTACGTAATGTCCCAAAATATTCTTTAAGTAGGAATCTTTATATTTAGTCTGAAAGACAGAACACATTTCATTTATTAACTGGCAAAACAATAGGTTTTTTTTTTAACAGAAGGAGTGATGGTAGGATTGCTTACATCACTACTGAAGTTCTGCAGAACCGTATCAAGCTTAAATTTGGGGGTCTCACAGTAATTTACGCTCTTTGCCTTTGTCTTTTCATAGTTTTCCTTGTACCGTTTCTGCCAAAGAAGAAAAAAAGTTAAAATAGATTCCTGTCACTCCCACACTGATTATAACACTCGTATTTTCCAAAACTAAACAAAAGAAGAAAAGATATCACCTGTCAACTGTCTTAAAAACTGACGATCACATGTGGGATGTAATGAATCATAAGCCTTTTCTATTAGCAATTACTGTAAAGCCTAAGTTTTTAACATTTTCAAAAATTTAAGAAACCAGTATGCTGCCTCTGACCAAGCCCGTACTTGTGAGATTCTTGTATGTCTCTGAATTGCTGCCCTGTCTGTCTCTGTCCTCGCATACACTCTCTTCACCGATGGTGCAACATGAAAGTTTTAAGCAACAGCAAGTTTTTGGGGTTTTTTTTAAAAAACAAACCTTCATGAAAAAGTTAATATAGGTTGAGAAATATACAATCTCTCTTTCTCCTCAAACCAAGGAAATGTCTCTTATTATACATAAAATTAGCCTTAAAAACAAGGTGCGTATGAGAATTCATACTATAAGTTATTACTACCGCCTCTCCTCTGCTAGGATTTATCTTTGGCTTGAATGAAAACAACAAACATTTATTGGTTTTAAATTCACAACTGACAAAACTGATTACTGTCACTTTTACATTTGGAGTTTTAAAAATGTAACTGATGCTATTCGTTTGTAATGTTTTTATATCCCTGCCTTTATCAACAAAGTGGGTTTGAACCTGGGACTTTACATATTTGGTAAAGATGTCCTTCAGTTAGGAAGCAGAAGTGCTTTGCACTGATCTTCCAGCAGAGTTATTTAGACAGATCTGTTGACACTCTGTCACCTGCCACTTCATCCCACCCCTTCCCCAATCACATGCAGATGCTTCCTACTGAATGACTTAATTCAAGGGACAAAGAAAAGATAACCAACCCACACAGAGAGCTACATCAAAGCCTTAAATACTGGTAAAGCTTAATACAAACCTAACCACAAGGGGAAAACTCAAATGATCACATACTTATTCTCCCACTCTCTCTCCCGTTACATATATGTAGTTCAAATGATCTTGGGCTGTTAGTCCTTTAATGCCAGCCCAGTCTGATTTATCTAATCTATTTTAAATCTAATGGCTTAGTCAGGCCCTTAGCAATCCCAAAAGTAGAAATTCCTATGAAGGCTAAGGGAGTCATTTTTTAAGTTCTGTTTTCTTCAAGTAATGGTTTCTGGGGCCAAGATCTAGCTTTGAAAGTCTCCTCTTGCCTCCATCAAAGTCACAACACATCTGCAATGTCCTCTTTGTCCATATGGAGGCCCAGGTACCCAGAGCTTTTAAGCAAATGAGGATTTTCCTGCCCATAGAACTAAATCCGCAAGTTACAAAAATAAAGCCATGTCATGCTCAGAGGCACGTGTGTCTTCCTGTGGCTAGGTAGTCCCAATGAAACTGCTAGTCTATGACCTTAAAGTCTTTGCAAAGTTATATATGCATTTAGTCATTAGAGAAGAGGAAAAATTTCATCTCTCTCGCAGCTAAGGTTTGAAAACCGCTTTTTGACAAGACTATGCTTACATCACTCAGGGCATCTCCTGCCGCCTTCAGCTGCCTGAGCAGTGGGTTCTCGGATGCAGGAAGTACATTATAATCTGCTTTCCCTTTATTCTTTTCATAGTCTTCTTTGTATTTTACCTGTAGGAGTGAAATAAAGTGATAAAAAAAAAACTCTACGGGTTATTTTTGCCTTCATCTCTATTATGGATATTATGACATAGTTCTACAAATCAATTTTCTCTTTAGAAAAATGACAGCTTGACATTTTATAAACAGAATACTCATAGTAACCCATAACAGCAGCAGAGAAACTGCATAAATTTCCAGCATGCTTTTTCTTCCCATTCATTTATTCATTCAAAAATATCCATAGGATGTTGATTATGTGCCTGATTCTGGGACAAATACAAGAAAAAATACCACCTGGTGTCTGCCCTCAAAGAGAGAGATACACAAATAATGACAGCACATCATGTCCCAGACACCTGCTGCTGTAGAGCCTTCCCTCAGCTCTTCACCCCCAGCTGCCTATCTGCCAACACATTTTTAAAGAAGGGAAGCTAGAAGCATCCCAACCTACCCTTTTATGCCTCACCTGTGGCTGTGTGTTGAGCAGGCACACTTTTAACGTACGAGTAGGAGGGCAGAAAGGAGCTGGGGTGAGATGAATCATGGCAACCTCACCTTCTCCTTCTGCCCTTCCCACTTTCACCTTTAATTCCAGCTATGGCAGAAGCAGTATGTTTGCTGGGGCAGGGGAAGGTCCAAAAGCGCGTCCACAGAGAGCAGAACAAGAAACCGATCCTGGTTCTGACCATGATCTCCAGTGTAAGCCATTTATTCAGATGATATAACCATAGAAGTTCAAGGAATCCTAGATAATTTACCAACATTTAAGAATCTCAGAAAACACAGCCAATCAGCTTGGTGTTCCAAGGCAGGAGATACACAACTGGAACACAGATGTACCGATCCTACAGCCTACACAGAGTAAGTATCACAGGGGGTACCTGACAGGAATGAAAGACCCAGATAACCTCTCTACCTTATAGAACTGTGTATTTCCTTAAAAATGAAAGTGAGCAGAAGGGGAATTCACGAACCCTACTATCCCCCCACCTGCATCTGGGGTATGCAGCCTTCTCCCCTGTTATCCAGATGAACTATCAGGGCTCGTGGCAAAGCCATCTCCTCCTTTTAAGCAACAGATCTCTTCCCCTTTCACCCAGTTAAGGACCTCACTCCAGCTGTTGTTCCCCTGTCCAACATCAACAAATTTTCCCTCTCTACTGGATTTTTTTCATCAGCATAGAAACATGGTGGTTTTGTCTTCTATCTTAAAAAATTCCTCCTCAGCCACTTGTTTATCAGCTACTACCCCCATATTTCTTCCCTTCTTTCTGGGAAAATTCTTTGAAAGAGTTGAATAAGCTCATATCCTCAATTTCTCTCTTCTCATCCACTCACAAACCTTCTCCAAGGAGATTCAACCAAATTGTTCTCGTTGAGGTCACCAGAGACCACACACTGGTAAATCCATTTCAGAAACATTTGACACAGTTGACACTCCTTTTCTCCTTCACTTGCTCCCAAAGATACTGCTCTCTCCTGACTTTGCTCCTACCTCGTCTGGCTGATGTGTTCACATGGAGGGCCTCAGCGCAGAGTCCTTGGGTTTTCTTCTACACTCACTACATTGATGCTCTTCAGTCTCATAATATTAAATACCTCTATATTTTGGTGACTCTTAAAGTTATATAACCTTCCCATATCTCTTCCCTGAAAATCCAGACTCATATAATCAACTGACTACTTGACATCTCCGCTTGGATATCTAAAAGAAAGGCATGTCAAATCTAAATGTCTGAAGATGAGCTCTGGTCTCTCCTCCAAAAAAAAAAAATTTATCTGCTACTTCCACAGTCTTCCCCATCTTGGTAAAAGGAAACCTTACCCATCTAGCTGCTTAGTCCAAAACCTTTCTGTCATACCTCACTCTCATATCCAATTCATCAGCAGATCAGGTTGGCTCTTCTTTCAACATACTTATCACCTGCACTGCTTCCCTTATGGTCCAACACACCAATGTCTTGCACCTGGTACTCTAATGACCTTCTAAGTGATGGCAGAGCAAAGGCCAGGATTAAAACCAAGTGTGCATGGCTTCAAAGCTTATGATTTTTCTAGTAACCATCCTGCTTTAGAATGCCAAAGAGTCAGACTATTTAGCAAGGTCACTCTATAGAGCATATGAAGATATGCATAGATTTGTGTATCTTGTCTGTAACCAGACTTTTCACCAGTCAGTGGGAAAATAAGAAAAATAATGAGAATGCTGAGTGTGGGATGTCTATTTTCATGTAAGTTGCTAATTGTCTTTTCATGGGAGGAAAAGTCCTGCTATCTGATATTACGGTCTTTCTATTTCTGCATGGCAAAAAGCCCTTTACTTTATGAAATGTTGAAGATGATAATTGGTCATTGTTAATGCTCATACATGGCTAAATCTTTAAAAATTTTGAGTAGCACCTATTATAATTCCAAAGTACTTTTGTTGTTCTTATGTTTTAATTCTACTCTTCGTTAAATGCCCGGATCCTCTGGTCTCAACCCTGGTAGTTCCACTAAGTACCTCACCCCTTTGGTTTTCTTTGTTTACAAGAGCCAGAGTTGTAAGAAATTCACCCCCACTAAAACCATCAAGATAAATGGGACAAGTCCTTTGTACCTTGCTGGCTGCCACTCCAGCTTGTTTATTCACTTTATACTCTGGTGTTTCAGTCTGCATGAAGTAGATCTGGTCTTTCATGTTCTCGAAATCTTCCTGGTATTTCCTCTGTAAGACATTAAACATGCTGGAGTACTGCTGTGGGAACAAACTGTGCATGGGTTCACACGGGAGGACACCTGGAATGTTAAGAAGTTACCCAAAGAGACACTTCTCTTGGTTAAGGCAGGTCAGATTATATTTAGAGAATGTGGCGCCATCACGAAAATGATTAGCAACTTAACAGATTTGGAACAATCAGCATAAGCTGAAAGAATAATTAGAAAGGACTTTCTTGGCTACCAAGAAAGAGTTCTCAAAATCCAGGAGCAGAAAACTTAAGAGAAAAGAAAAAGAATAATTAGACTTAAGTTTTCCAGTGAGAAGAACTAGATTAGTCAATTTTATAAATGAACAGTTTGGTTTCCCAGGCAAAGAATAAATTCAAAAGAGCCCCTTTAACTTGTACTAATTGAACTTTGTGGTCAGTAAGAGGATCTCGCCACGCTTTTTCTGAGAAAACTGAGGTATAAATAATGGATTTGGTCAAAATAATATTTCTCAAAAGGAAAGAGAGTTTGTCGGAATTTCTTTCTTAACAGGAACTCTGCACCAGGTCCTGTCCCTGAGAAAAGGGGCCTCACATGTTCCAGCACCACCTCAGATGCAGCAAGTGTCTAGAAGTCATAAAGGAAAGGGTTCCCCACCCAGGACACAGGCCATCTCTCCCTGCTTACTGTGCTGATGTTATCAGCGTTCATTCTGGCATTTGCAATTTCAAAGCAAGGCGTCTCACTCCATTTGCCTTTGATTTTCTTTTCATAGTCTTCTTTGTATTTTTTCTAGGAAAAAAGAAAAGAAAATGAGACAAGCAAAATCCAGGAATTGACAAATAGGACAACAAATTAAGTAATAATGATTAACTTTAAAAAATCTCTTAGGGCCGGCCCGGTGGCGCACTGCTACAGTGCGCCGCTTGGGAAGTGTGGCGGCGCTTCCGCCGAGGGTTCGGATCCCACATACTGCCGCTTGGGAAGCGTGGCAGCGCTCCTGCCGAGGGTTCAGATCCCACATACGGACCGGCAGCTCACTGGCTGAGCGAGGTGTGGGAGCAACACCGAGGGTTGCGATCCATTGCCGGTCACAAAGAAAGACAAAAAGGAAAAAAAAAAAATCTCTTGACTGAGCTGTTCTTAGGTTCCTAACAGATGTCTTTAAGAAATCCTCCAGTGTAGTGTCCATTTTTCCAACAAGAAAGTTGGGTGAGGGGGGATAGAGAGAGAACACAGAAAGGGGGTACTAACTCTCCCTCCCCTTGCTGAGTTTGGGACTTAGTTCATGAGAACTTGCAGATGTTCCCTGATGTTTGAGAACAGAGAAAGTCAGGAGTAATCCTCTATGTATATGTTAGAGTTACAATAAAACCTATTAAACCGAGATCACCATGCTAAATGAACTTAACTGCTAATTTCTAAGCTTTCCCCAAACCCCTAGTAATCCAGAAAGCAACAATCACAATAAAATTCAGCTTGCGGGCTAATGAATAAGCCCTCCTAGTTTGGCCTTAAAAAAATGTAATAAAAAGTAGAAAGTAATTAAAAAATTCAACTGCTGCCCCACCTTGCTCCCAAACATCACTTCAACTGAATTCTAGGCTGTGAGCTCCTTGAAAAGAGGTATTATGTCTTCATTTTCATATCTTCGGTATCTAACACAAAATGCAGTACACAGAAGTTACCTCATAAGTGTGTGTTTGACTACATTAAACTAAACTGAGACCATTAATACATGGTTATGTATTAATAACCTAAG